GAAAACAGGGCCCAGAAATAGCCCTCATGCACCTGGCAAATGGCCTTGAACAGACCCCGAGATTCTATAATGGGAAGGAGAGTGTCTCCCTCGCAGGGCAGTGGGAGAAGAGCACATCCACGTAGACCAGCATGAAGTCAGACTCTCATAGGTGTTTATAAAAATTACCACAAAATGAATAAAAGGCCCAGCTGGCAGGGCTCAGTGGTTGAGCGTTGACCTATGAACCAGGAAGTCATGGTTTGATTCCAGGTCAGGGCAGATCCCTGGGTTGTGGGCTTGATCCCTAAGAGGAAATGTGCAGGAGGCAGCTGATCAACGATTCTCTCTCATCATTGATGTTTCTATCTCTCTCCCCTTCTCCTTTTCTCTCTGAAATCAATAAAATAATATATATATTAAAAAAAATTAATAAAAGCCGAAACCGGTTTGGCTCAGTGGTAGAGCGTCGGTCTGCGGACTGAAAGGTCCCAAGTTCGATTCCGGTCAGGGGCATGTACGTTGGTTGCGGGCACATCCCCGGTAGGGGGTGTGCAGGAGGCAGCTGGTTGATGTTTCTCTCTCATCGACGTTTCTAGCTCTCTATCTCTCTTCCTTCCTCTCGGTAAAAAATCAATAAAATATATTTTTTTAAAAATTAATATTGATAAAAGACCTAAGCACAAGACAAATACATCATATAAATTTATATATGTACTACACACACACATATGTGTGTGTGTATATACACATATATACATATATACATATATACATGTATACATATATACATATATACATACACACACACACACACACACACACACACACACACATATATATATATATATATATATATATATCTCCAAGAAGAAAATATAGAGAAAAGGCTTAATGAGATTAAATTAGGCAATGATTTCTAGGATTTCATTTTCCTAGCCCCAAATCAGGGGCTAGGAAAATGAAACTATTTCAAAGACAATTATCTGCCAAAACAGGTTTGGCTCAGTGGATAGAGCGTCGGCCTGCGGACTGAAGGGTCCCAGGTTTCAAAGGAGGCACGAATATACAATGGAGTCAAGACAGTCTCTTCAATAAATGGTATTGGGAAAATTGGACAGACACATGCAAAAGAATGAAACTAGATCACCAACTTACACCATTCACAAAAATAAACTCAAAATGGATTCAGGACTTAAATATCAGATGGGAAACCATAAAAATACTAGAAGCATCCACAGGCAGCAAAATCTCAGATGTATGCCAAAAGAACTTCACTGATACTGCCCCTAGGGCAATGGAAGCTAAAGAGAAAATAAACAAATGGGACTACATCAAAATAAAAAGCTTTTTTGAAGGGTCCCAGGTTTGATTCCGGTCAAGGGCATGTACCTTGGTTGTGGGCATATCCCCAGTGGGGGGTGTGCAAGAGGCAGCTGATTGATGATTCTCTCTCGATGTCCCTCTCGCTTCCTCTCTGTAAAAAATAAATAAAATATATATATATTTTAAAAAAGACAACTATCAACAGAATTAAAAGACAACCTATGGAATGGGAGAAAATATTTGCAAATCATTTATTTCACGAGAGATTAATGTCCAGAATACAGACTGAACTCCTAAAACTCAACAAAGCCACCTGAGTTTTCAATGAGCAAAGTACTTGCATAGGTGTTTCTACAGCAGATGGAAAGATGCTCAGCATAGCTAGTCACCTTAGAAATGCAAAATAAAACCAAATGAGACATCCCCGCACACCCATTGGGATGCCCATGACTTACCCAGTGCTGGCCAGAGCGTCGAGATGGAATCACACAGCTCCAGAGCAAGCTGCCTGGGCGCTCTTACAGTGCTTCCCATGCAACTACCACAGGACTCGGAGGCCTCATTTCCGGGTCAAGTGATTAAAACATGCACCTCAGATATTTGCAAACCCATGTTCACTGTGGCCTTTTTTCACAACAAAAGATAGAAAAAAAGAAAAGAAAAAAAAAGGAGCATCCAGGATGGGCGAGTGGACAGTAGCGTGGGACGCACAGGACGGCCGGTGCTCCGCCTTAAGGCAGGCCGGGCCTGCGGGCCGGAACGGGGGGCGCTTGGGGACCTTAAGTGAAAGGAGCGGACACACTGGTGAATAACGCGACTCCACTTACAGGGGACAGGGAAACCTCTCAGGGGAATGCTCCTCAGGAAGCGAAGTTTCAAGTTCCCTTCTGGCACTTGACTCAGAGCTCCACTGGGCTGCACCCCAACTCTAGCTGGGGGTGAGGCAGGGGTGAGCCCAGGGAGCTGAGGCCTCCCGCCTCCCGCCTCCCGCCTCCCGCCTCCCGCCTCCCGCCTCCTGCCTCCCGCGGTCCTCAAACCTCCCCCCTGTCCGGGCTGGAGCGTCTGGAAGGGCCCACACTGAGCGCTCCCCTGCCCCCTCTGCCTTCCTGTTACTGAGACAAACCCCACCCCTGAATCACCATGGCAACTCTGGGAACTGATCAATAAGGTCAGCAAAGGCACAAGACAAAAGTCAATACACGCTCACACTAGGCACACCCCTAGCTGGAGAGGAGGGGCGTGAGCCCTGCCACAGCTCTGGCTGGGAACCACTGACCCCCTCCCGCCCCCCCCCAGTTCAATGAACCCCCCTTCCCCCACCCGGATGGGATCTCCCCTCCCAGGGCTGCTGCCCCCGCTGCCCAGCTCATTAATGCGCTTCCTGTGCTTTGCTGAGTCCTCCTGGGTCTGGGAACTGGTCTTGGGCCCTGGTGTCCAGCTGACACACACACACACACACACACCCGCCTCCCCGCACCAGCAGGGCCTGGAAGCGAAGAATCTACCCCAGATGGCGCCTGTGGGGAAGGCAGTGCCGCAGCTCCCACGGTTATCCGGTCCCCCCTGATTTCCACCTTGGGGGGCGGTAGAATCCCTTCTGTTCTACAATCAAATACCTAAAGTTGTCAAACTCACACAAACAGTAAAATGAGGGTTCCCCGGGGAGGGGGAGGGGGAGGGGAAGAGACTGTTTAACGCACCAGCCCCAAGGTCTGTGCCCACAGGAGACTGTGCTGCTCCCTGTCGCGCACACTGGAGCCGGTTATGTGGTTCCTGTGTGTCAGGTGGTTTTTACTACAACTGGAAATAAAAACAAGTTGTTACAGGAATCCGACCACCTGTGAAATTGAATGATGTGGTAAAGCTCCACAATTCAAAGATGTGAATCAGCCAAAATAGTGTTTGGAAGGCAATTTAAAGTGCATGTGCGAGGGGACAGAAGACTGGAATGAAGTCCATAACCAAGACACTGTGAAGGAACTAAACTGAACGAGGAGTGTAGGAAGGGAGTAATAGCGACTAAAGCAGTTCATGAAATAGAGAACAAAACTGCGTAGAGAAGATACACAAAAACAAGGGTTGAATCTCTATATTTTCAAAAAGGCAGTAAAATAGTTCTGACCCACAAAAAGACAAGTAGTAACACACGTGAGGCATTTCTTGCTTAACGTTGATACTCTTTTCCAGAAATGTTGCCTATGTGAAAACACTCCCCAGAAAACCTAGGGCTCTTACTTTTTAAGACTTTTTCCCAAGCAGTTTTATGTTCACAGCAAAAGTGAGAGACAGGTACAGCGAGGGCTGTGCAGGTGCCTGACAGCAGTAGGAGCAGCAGCAGGTGGAACAGAGCGAGCTGGGCGGACATGCCCTGGACGGGCACTGCTGGTGGGAATGGACATTGTTGCAGCCACTGTGCGAAGCTGTGTGTAAAATCCGCAAAAAATCAACAGTAGAACTGCCACTTGACCGAGCAATTCTGCCTCTGGGAGCACACCCAAAGGCAGAGGGGATTGGTTCTAAAGGAGTCTGCATCCTGCGGGTTACTAAGTGCCCATCAGCCAGGGCAGGGACAGGGACGTGGTGACACATACGCACAACAGATGGGACTCAGCCTTCACAAGAGAGAGTCCTACGCTTGGGACAACATGGATGAAGCATAAGGCGTTATGCCAAGTGAAATGACTCAGACAAAGACCAACACCATATGATCTCACATATAAGTGGATTCTTAAGCAAATGAATAAATAAATGAATGAATAAAATAAAATAGCAACCACAAAAAACCTCAACCAAACTTTCAGACAGAGATCAGACTGGTGGTCCGCGGCGGGGAGGGAGAACTGGAGAAAGGGCCCAAAAGGCATACGTTGCAGCCACAGGCATGCTGGATGGACCCTGCAGCATGGTGCCTGGAGCTAGCCCTGCGGCCAGGAAGTTGTTGGAGAGAAAATCACAAAGAGGAAGGTTTTTCTTTTCTTTTTCCTGCACCCCCGGGAGCAGATGCTGCTGGCGGAAGCCATGGGAGAGCAGCGTCACAGTGCATGGAAATGGGCCATCTGCTGACGTTCAGGGTGGGGCAAAAGCAGGTTCACAGCTGCTCATCTGGAAAATTATACAATAATTAATAAATAATAGCATGAAAATAAACTATTTAGCATGGTCACAACTATAAACCTAATTTTGCTCCACCCTATATAGACTTTGTTTTATCAATAGAACTCACTATCCTATATTACAAAAGACTAATATGCAAATGGTCTGAATGGTGGAACAACCAGTTGCTATGATGTGTGCAAACCACTAGGGGGCACTTTCAGAACATGGCAGGCGCCAGCAGCAGGCAACAGAGTGTGGAACATGGTTGGCTGTAGTGGTATGGTGGTGCAGGTGAGCCAGGGCACCAAACCAAGGTGGGGCACTGGTCGCTGTCATCAGGGTGAGCCTCTGGTGGTTCCTGAAAATTCGCTTGGTGCCATCAGCAGCAGCTGCTGGCTCCAATCACCCCTGAGGGTTTCTCCACCTCCCCCTGCTCCTAAGGGGCAATCAGCACCAGCCCCACTTGCACCCACTGCTGGCTCTGATCCCAATCACTCCACATTGTCAGCGGCTGTGAGCATAGCCTGTGCCATTAGCCCATGGGACCTGCGGCAGCAGGGCTGCTGGCAGACAGGAGACCGGGAGCCAAAAGGTGACAGGAGGATGGGCCGAGATCTGCCCCTGAGATCACTGCAGCCTCTCGGCCCACAGTTCCTTTCAAGGTGCACGAATTCATGCACTGAGCCCCTAGTTGAAGCATAAAATTTGTACTTGCTTTTTTGTGTTTTCTCCTCCCACACTTCCAACCTTTTTTAATTCCCACCTGAGATATTTTTCTATTGCTTTTAGATAGAGTGAAAGGGGACATGGGGGGAGGGAGAGATAAAGGGGGAGAGAGAGGGGAGAGAGAGAGATGTGAAAGAGACATATAGATTAATTGCCTCCTACAGGTGCCCCAACTGGGGCCAAGGATCAAACCTACAACCCAGGTCATAAGTGCCCTTGACCAGTAATTGAACTCCAGTGAATGGGCTGACCCTCTAACCACTGAGCCCCCCCAGACCCCCTTCCCACTTTGTGCATCTGCACTATTGTCTGTCCAAACTCATAATCCTTGATAGAGTGCTTTGAAAAATGCCAATATGTCTTCTTTAGGCATATAAGAAAATGAGCATACTTAACCATAACTTAAAGAGAAGTTACCATCATTTTAAGTTAAATTTTGTCCCAGGTCAGTTTTTCCCTCTGTCGCTATAAACACAGCCCCTCTGATTGCCTCTCTGCCCTCTCCCTCTCTCCCTTCCTCTTTTCCTCCAGCTGTGTTATAGAAAACCAAAGAAGAACAAAGCAAGACTTAGAGAGATGGAGTTACATTTATTACGCGCGGGTCCAGAGGAAAATGTATCTCAAATTCTGGGCCCCAACATGCAGGAATTCTCCCTATTTATATGATTTTACCTTCTTTGTCTCCCAAATAATGAGTGTTTCCAGCCCCCTTTTGCAAGTTCTTAAAGAGCCAGTGTGTACTGGGGCCTTGAGACCTAAACCAGAGGCCTGGCCCGGCACCAGCACTGATGACCTTGTCTGGGGAAGGTTAAATCCACAGGAGCCAAATAGCAGGGTTAAAATTTCAAACAGCAGTTTTCATACAAGATGGATGCTTCAGCTTTGGGCACTGACACTGGAGCAGGCGCAGCACTGCTTCCCTACCTACCTACCTCCCCCATCCCCGCCCCGATCCCCTTTAAAGCTTCAGAGGACTTACTGCCTGGAATGCCCACAAGTTCAAGGGTGTGACACCCCCACCCTCCTATGGAGCATAAAGGGCACACACTCTCCCCTCAGTCCCTCCCAGCTTGCCTTCCAACTTTCTCTGCAAGACTTTCTTCTCTGGCAAAACGAGTGGACGCCTTGTCCACTGCCCCCACCAGCCACCTCCATGGTGACCTCCTGCTCACCCAAAGTCAGGGGTCCCTTCCCTTCCCCTCCTTGGGGCCCAGAACACTGGAGTTACCCTCCACCTCCATGTCCATAAGGAAAGACTGCCAGGGGCTGAGGTTGTGGTGGGCACTGTGGGCATCACACAGGAAGGAGCAGCTGTGGAGGGGAAGCTGGCACGGCAGCCTGGCATGAGGGGCGGGGTAAACGCGCCAGGCCCCTAGGCAGCAGTCACCTGCAGGCCCAGCGCGGCCCCCAGAGGTGCGGGTTTGCCCAGAGTGCTCTATGGACGCCTGGCTACTAATGGACATTTTTAAAAACTGGAGCTTACACACAAATGTGACCTCGGTTTTCCTTGAAAGTCCCGGACATCTGGGCTGGACTCCGGAAGCCTCTGCTGCCCACCCTGGTCTCAGTCCCCTAACACACACCTCATTTCCCAGCGGGCAGTCCTCGTTCGGGCCGGTGTGGCTGCTCTTCGTGGTCACCTGGGCGGATGGCCAGGAGAGCCGCGCTCTCGGCCCTGGCCGTGCGCCTTCCGTGGCGGCTGCAGGGCTCCCTGCCATGTGGTGGCCAAAGACGCCCTGAGCCCAGGAGAGCAAGCCCACTGCAAGGGTGTGAGCGTCTGCTGCCTCCCAGCAACAGGGCCCATTGGCCAGAGCAAGTCCATGACCCAGCCCCCAAAGCCTCTGACAAGTCCAGGGATGCGTTTGCCATCTGACAGCCACATGGCCGCCCAGCCAGGTGGGTAGTTGGCCAGCAGCAGGCCCTTCAACCACCCCCGCCCCCTGCCCTCCACCCAGCCCCTCAGTGAGGTTCTGCCTGACCCTGGGGGCATTCAGCCATGGCCACCTGTCTGACACCCTCCCAGACTCCTAAAGATGCCATCGCCCCCCAGAGAACCTCTCTGCAAACTGCTGTAAGGGGGCCCCAGGGGCCGAGAGCCCGCACAGAGGTCAAGCCAAGGCCCAGAAGAAAGGGTCAAGGATGAGAGCATTGAAAGAGTCACACAGTGAGCAGATAAAAGCCCCAAAGAAACAGCGGGGAGGGGGAGGTACGGGGCGGGGGTGTGTGTGTGTGTGTGTGTGTGTGTGTGTGTGTGTGTCTTAGCAGGGGCTGTGCTTTGGTCACTGGGCGGTTTTAAAGTCCCTGATGCCCAGGCGGCACCCAGGCTGATGTGGTCAGAATCCCTGGGTCGGGCCTGACAGGACACAGTGTGACCATGAGGACTGGAGGGTCCCTCGGGTCCGACTGTCTGTTTCAAGCTGCAGCGTTGGAACCACTGCCAGGGACATTCGCGGCAGGGCGGCCCGGGAGCTGCTGGGAGGGAGGGGAACCTTTGCAGGGCAGGGCAGTGTCTTGCTAAGTGGCCCAAACTGACTTGCAGCAGCTCAGCGAGGTCGCAGTGCCACCAAGTGTGCAGCGAGCCTGGCGGCCGAGGAGGCCCAGGGCACCCTGGCTGGAGGGCGGTCAGCGCTGGGACCTCTGCACACAGGAGGCTCCGCCGAGGGTCCCGGCGCCCCTGAGAGGCACACGACTGCCCTCAGGCTCCTGCAGGCAGCAGTGAGCACAGGCTCGCCGGCCTCCCAGATCTGCGGGCCTCAGCCCTCCTTCATGCTTGAGGCTCCAATGGTCAGTTCTTCCAGTTCTGCCCTTACTTACCCCAGAAGCGTGAGGCGGGGAGGCCGCAGGGAGGGTCTCAATGGAACACTCACCAGCTTCAGGGTGGTCTTCAGGGTCCTGGCCTCCAAGGATGGGTCAGCCCCGGGGCAGGGTCGTTACCCATGCAGCTGGGCCTGAGGCAGCCACTGCGTCCCTGTCTGGTTTGGCTGCTTTTCTGGGCCTTGAGCCGATGTGCAAGGGAGGCCTCTAGGGAGGAGAGGTCAGGGGTCCAAACCGCAGGAGCAGAGATCTGCTGGGAGGAAGGCCCCTGGGGCGAGCGCCCGAGCCATCACCTGGTGAGCTGGGTACCTGGCCTCTGGCCACATGAGCCTCTTAAGTGGGAGAGGAAGACAGAAGGGGGACCTGGGAGGGTCCTTGAGTCTTGCCGCCCCAGCACCCTCCTCCTTCCCTCCCCCCTCCTCCCTGGAGCTCCAGGAGAACCACACGCTGCCCCTGGGTGGCAGGGACTCCGCGCAGACCAGCCCTGCCTGCGGGACGCAGAGCTGCGGGGTCACAGATGCTGTGGTCTTAGGCCCTCACGTGTGGCCACTTGTCACACGAGAGAAATAAACAGGGGGTGCCGCCTGCCATGCAATTCAGAGTCCCGCGAGGCTGGCAGGCGGGCCCTGCAGTGTCGTGTGTGTGTCCCCCCCCCCCCCCCCCCCCCCCCCCCACATTGTTCCCTCAGTTACAGCTTCACTAGCTCTGCAGCCCAGCGGCTCCGCCCACCCATGGCTTCCACTCCCTGGCCCTGTGTGCCTCCTGCAGGCCACAGGTGCCTCTTCTCTATTTGCTTCTGTTGTTGTCTCTCCCACCCTCCCACCCCCCAACCACCACTGCTGGTGGAGGGGCAGGAGGCCTTCCCCTTTGATCCCGGCTGCCACCAGGGGGCGGGCAGATGGCAGGTGAGGGCAAAGCAGGGCTGAGAGAAATGCTTGTAAGGCCATCATGTGGTAACTGCGCCTGCTTTGGGGTAAGACAGTTATTTAACCCTTTTCCAAGTGGGGATTTAGGGAATGGCTGCTATAGGGTAGGTCACTAAAATGGCCTTTTTCTTTTTGTAAAATATAAGTGTGTTAATTGTAGAGGGAAATGGCTACTCAAAGAAAACCACTGTCAGCCCAGCGGCGGAGCGTAGACCTGTGAACCAGGAGGTCACAGTTGGATTCAGGTTGGCGCACAGGCCAGTTCCCGCTCCATCCCCAGCGTGTGTGTGTGTGTGTGGGGGGGGGGGGGGGGGACTGGGGAGGGGCAGTGCAGGAGGCAGCTAGTCAAGGATTCTCTCGCATTGTTGATGTTTCTCTCTCTCCCTTTTCCTCTTAAATCAATACAAATATATTAAAAAATAAAGACAAGTGTTTGTGCGTTTTGGGTGAACACCCTCCACATCACTCTCCCTACAAAAACGCCAACATATGTCTGCCCATCTCACTGGTCCCACACGTCTGTTACCCCCCTTCCCCCCAGGCGGGGCTTCCGGTCCTCTCACCAGGAGAGGGTCCTGCTGGCTCCTGGCCACCCCCAGGGCGCTTTCCCAGCTTCACCACCGCCCGGGGAAGCTCAGGGCACTCTGGTTAGCAGGCCTGGCTGGAAAGACCCTGTGGGCTCAGAGGGAAGGCCTCTTCCTCCTCGGCCCCCTTTTGGAATATAACCATTTAAGTTTCTTCAGCGCTGGCAGCCAGCCTGCAGCCCCCTCAGGAGATGCCGGGCAGGGTTCACAGAGCCTGGCAGCCGCCTGGGATAGCCTGGGAGAGACGCCCCTGAACCCCCAGCCTGTGCACCCAGTGGGCCTCCGTGGGTGACAGAAAGGTCTGCAGAGATGAAGGGGCCCGAGGGGCAACCCTCTGCTTGGTTTGACACAGGAATGAAACCCTTCTGGCAGGGTGGGCGTGGCCTGTCCTCGGGGCTGCCTGTGAGCGGGGAGGGGAAGGGGGTAAAGCGTAAAGGGAGAGGGTCTTCTCCCCATTGCATACCTGCCTGTAGTTTCATTCTAATCATGTTCTTAGTTTACTTTATATGCTTGCATATGGAAAAGAAATTTAGATCGCAGGCTTGTCTAATAGAAAACATGTTTTTGTAATGCCCAATTGTCATAAACCCCAAAGACTACCAGGCAGCTGAATCTGATGACATTGCAGAAAGCCTGTATTTATTTCGGACTAGTCCGAGCTCACTCAGTCCCACTACACCAGCGATGGCATGGTGGGAGAGAGAAAGAATTTAACATATCAATGGGTTTTATAGGGGGGTAGTGCCACTACCTTGGCTGACCTGATTGGTTGGGTTAGGGCTAGGGTCCAGTTACTGGGAGCTGGCCCTGCCCTTTCAGTTTTGTGATGAAAAAAGTAACCCCTGCAGTTATGCCTGAGCCGCCTACTCGCAGGCTCTCTGCCAGGGGAGATCAAATCGGATGCCAGAGCCAGTTACCAAACGCCCACCTTAACCAGATGCGGCCCTGGACGAGTCTCTCAGGGCTGCATCACAGCCAGAACTCTGTGTTCCCACAGTCCCCAGGCTGGAAACCAGACCAAGCGCGGGCTTCCAGTGACTGAGTCCCGTGTCCTAGACAGCGGCGCCTCCTCCAGCCGCGATGTACCTACTGCAAGGAGCACAGGTTACCATCGAATGAGGAGCTCATCCAAAGCCTGTGTCCGCAGCTGTTCCCCTGGCAGACCCCACACTGCCAGCAGGGTGGCCCGTCTTCCCCAGGGTCCCCTGCCAGTCCAGCCAGCCCTGTGGTCCGCGTCCAGGCAAACTGACACCCTGTGGAAGCATCCATCTTATACAAAAACTGCTGTTTGAAATTTAACCCTGCTATTTTGGCTTCTGTAAATGCTTGTTTGCTTAAATAATAAGGAAAATAAGACTACTCCCATTCCAGAGAGGCCATGAATCTTCCCCGATGAAGTTATCAGTGCTGGCACCGGGCCAAGCCTTTGGTTGAAGTCGCAAAGCCACAGCACATCTGGCTCTTTAAGAACTTACAAAGGGGACCGGAAACACCCCATATTGGGAGACGAAGAAGGTAAAAACATATAAATAGGGAAAGTTCCTCCATGTTGGGGCCCAGAATTTGAAATACAGTTTTCCCTTGGCTCATATGTAATAATAATAATAATAATAATAATAATAATATGTAATGCCATCTCTCCAAGCATTGCTTGATTCTTCTCCAGTCTTCTGTAACATTAATGGTTCCCTGAAATATAGAAATCACTTTTGATTTCCCATATTTGGCTTTTTTGGCCTCTGGTGAGTGGACCTTTTTGGCCTTTTTGGCCTCCGGTGAGTGGACCGGGTTTGGGGTCTGGGGGCGCCAGACAGGCCTTCAGGAGGCGCGCTCTGCTGATTTATCAGAATTGAACCAGGGGACGGACCCTAAGTGCTCTGGACATCAGCCCAGCACCCGACTGGCATTTGGAGATAGTGGACAGATACTTCTGGACCTGTCAACAGAATTGGTAAGGTAGGGGCCCCAGTCAGCCAGGTGCACCCAAGTGAGTGGAAGGGGAGCTTAATCAGGAATCCGGTGGACTGTTTAAACTCTGAGTAAATGTCTGGTAGAAAACTCAGATTTTCAGGTGTATAAAGTAAGTGTGAGAGTCTGTGTGAAGTGAAAGCTACTTTGTACCATCTGGTTGTACACATGAGAGCATTTTTTTTCTCTTTTTGTGGTTTAATTTGTTTAAAGGGAGGGCAAACCCTACTTTAGGGAGAAGCCTAATTGTGTATAGTAAGGCTAGGTGCTCTGGCAGACTGCAATAACCCCTAAGCAGCTGCTGGGATCTCCTTTTTCCCATCTTCCTTCCCTTCCTTCCCTTCCTTCCTTCCTTCCTTCCTTCCTTCCTTCCTTCCTTCCTTCCTTCCTTCCTTCCTTCCTTCCTTCCTTCCTTCCGTTTTTCTCTGTCAGAGAGGGAATCAGCCAATTCAGCTAATGAAATTTCGGTCTATGTTTGTGATTATGGTTGGGGGTCCACAACATGAGGAACTGTATTTAAGGGGAAGGTGGATGCTTCTGTTCAAGGTTTTCCTTCTCAAAGAGGAAGCTTGTTCTGCTTCTGTGCTCTTCACAGAAACCAAGCACTTTGTGGCTCCCCCCGCCGCGCTGCTGACGGGATTTTTCTGAGGCCTGCTATTTGGGGAGCGCGCCAGGGCTGGGGAACTGGGTGCCCTGTGCCCAGTGAGTCCAGAGCAGACTGCTGGGTGGGGCGAAAGCAGAGCTGCTCCTAGTGTGCCCGGTTCTCAGTGCAGTTCAGCTCAGCTGTGTGCAGGGAGGACGGGTCCCCAGCTGTGACTGTGCAGTGGGACAAGCCCTGATGGTACACGGGGCGGGGCCTTGGGACTGCGTGTGCTGGGAGCATGGACAGGAGGGGAGGTGTGCAGGCCTGGGAGGGACCCCCTGCCCTAGCCGGATGGTGCCGCCTTCCCTGCAGCAGGTGCTCCCCCTCTGATCCCGGGGGGCAGGGAGGGCTGCCCTAGACGCCCTCAGGCAGGCGCACACCTCAGCCAGGAGGGCGGCTGCCCCACACTTGTCACCGTGAGGTCCGTTTCTTTTCCCTTTGGGGCAGCTGTCAACTTGAGACAAAAGGAGAAGGAGCTGAAGGACAGCAAACATCCATGGAAAGCCAGCACATTCTTTCCTCCTGAGGCCCCAGCACCCACCCCTCCTCCCCCGAGGCGAATGGCCCCTGAAGCCGGCTCAGGCTTCATTGTGCGCTAGTGGGCGCACACTGCCCTGTCCTGGTCTAGGCAGCGTTTTTCCACGTTCTAGAAGCTCCATGTGTCCTAAGGGTGGGCTCCCCACCCCTCCAACCCTTCCTTTCCTGGAGCCACCCTGTTTGGTCTATACTGGAATTCTGTGTGAAATTCTAACACTGAGCCCCAGGCCCAGACTTCACAGACACAGAAGCACAGGCTGTCATGCCGCACAGCCATGCCCACTCGGCACGGGGCCTGGCACTCATGGGATGTGAGACCTGGGGCATCTCCAGAACCTGGGTCTGTCCCTCTGAGGGCGCTGCCCGAGCTGTGGCAGAATCGCTCTGCTCTGTCCTCTGTGCAGACTGGATGATGTAGTCTGGGCTATACTGGTTCAGTGGCCCTTTGGTCCAGGGTGGTCCTCCTCTCAGGGTCCCGGCCAGGCAGCTTAGAGAGCCGCAGGGATGCTGCCAGTGACCGCTCACCTGGCGGCCTGAAAGGTAAGTCAGCCTCCTTCTGCACTTCCTAGTGCCCCTGGATCTCCGCTGTGGGCTTGGTGTGATTTCTGTGATTTAAAGAAGACAATTAGCAATTCTTCAAAGCTTTATGGGTTGGCCTCCACAGGGCACATCATGCAGTTTCAGGCTCAGGCCTGGGAGTGTTCACGCATTTGGGGTCAGGTCCCTTCTCCTCTCTGGCCAGCTCTGGGCGCCTGTGTGAGCCACCCATCCTCCAAGCCTGAGTTCCTGCAGCTTCCAGATGGGGACAGCGCCGGGAGTTCCGGTCCATCATGGTCAGAGGACACGGGTGAGTGTGATTCCTTTATGGTGTATAAGCTTGTTAATGGTGCAGAAGATGGTCTGTCTGCGCTGTCCCAAGGGCTGTGGGGCCTCACAGCTGTTGCTAATCTCAGCTCTAGAAGCTCTGCATTTCCTCCCACCTTATTTTGTTTTTAAACCCCAGCGTGAACTTCTATTGAATTCCAGCATGTCCTGAAACCCCCAAAGCCAGCCTGGGAGAAGTGTGCTCTGGTGCCCCAGCAGGGCTCCCTGTGTTCTGTGAGCAGGAGGCAGCACAGCCCACCGGAGGCAGGTGAGCAAGAGTGAGAGACTGATGTGTGTTGCTCTGTGTCCCCTCACCCTCACACCAGGTTTCTCCCAGGCGCCTGCTCCAACGCAGGCTCGAGAGCTTCCACAGTGAGGACCTGATGCCCAGCAGAGACACAGCACTCTGCCCCACGATGCCAGCACCCCAGAACACAGTACCCTCAGCAGCCAGGAGAACCTGCCACCCAGATGGGCCTCTCCACCAGGAGGCATCCAGAAGAGGGGTGTGGCCCAGCACCAGGCCTGGGGGTCCCTGTGCCCCAGGAGCAGAGGAGGGTCACCCTGGAGTAGTTCCTGGAGGAGCGTGACCAGGCTCTCCCCTACTCTGTGCGGCCCTGGAGCACTCTTTCCTCACTCCCCCCTCACATGGACCTGGACCAGAGGGGAGACCTGGGCAGCAAAGTCACAGAGAGGGATGGGGTGGGCTGGCAACCTGGCGGCAGAGCTGGCTGGATGGGACATACACACCACCTGCTTTCCCCCCAGCCTACTCTCCCCTTCCTCAGTCCCTCTCCCCTGTATCTCCAGTGATTTCCCTGCTTTGGGTGTGCTCCTTAAAACCTATTTTCTCAATTAAGATAAAAGTCTGAAAATATAAAGGTGGGCTGGCTATTATTTTTAAATCTTTATTGTTGGAAGTATTACAGGTATCCCCTTTTTTCTCCCATTGACCCCTTTATAGCCTGCCCTTGCCCCACAGCCCCAGCCTCCACCACCCTATTGTCTGTCCATGGGTTAAGCATATATGCATACAAGTTCTTTGGCTGATCTCTTCCCACCCACCCATCCACTCCCACCCCCTCTGACATTCCACATCTGTTCCATGCTTCTGTGTCTCTGGATTCATTTGGATGGACTATTAGATGACATGGAAGACTCATTGGAAACTGGTAAGTGTGACAATGGTGCTGCAGTTAGGTGAGGAACTGCCCTCACTTTTTAGAGACACACTGAGGTATTTGGTCATTACGCCGCATTTTCTTTTTCTTTTTTAAAATATATTTTATTGATTTTTTACAGAGAGGAAGAGAGAGGGATAGGGAAGTAGAAACATCGATGAGAGAGAATCATCTATCAGCTGCCTCTTGCACACCCCCTACTGGGGATGTGCCCACAACCAAGGTACATGACCTTGACTGGAATCGAACCTGGGACCTTTTGGTCTGAAGGCCAATGCTCTATCCATGACCTTTCGGTCTGAAGGCCAACGCTCTATCCACTGAGCCACACTGGTTTCGGCACGACACGTTTTCTTTAAATAGCTCAGCATACACAAACTCCCCCTCGACCCAGACCTGTGTTTGGCTAGTTGTGTATCCTCACGGGCACTCAAAGGCAGACTCCTTAACACAGCCTTTATGTCCATGTTCACGTCCTCAGCCCATTTCCTTCCTCCCCCCACTCCTCACGGCCTCCTGATCCCCAAGTGTTCAAGCCAAGGTCCCTGTGCAACCCGTCAAAAAAAAGGGGATCTACTCTCCGTTCTCAGGCCTCAAGACTCCAGAAGGAGGATGACTCCCTGTAAGCCTCATCCACAAGGAAGCGGAGATTGGAAAAACAGTTTTAGAAACTAAGACATCTATTCTTAGTTGAGACAGAGGAAAATGGACTCGGTCGCACATTGCTGCCGGGGGTGTGAATTCCCTCCTAGAAAAGTCTGGCAGAATCTATGTAAAAATGCCCATGCTTTCCCCACATGCTTTGAGAATCTAGTGAATAAGCACAAATTATATAAGGAGATTTACTGTACAGTTATTTGTAACGGTAACACCCTGGAAACCACTCCCATTTCATCAACAGGAAATTAGATGAAGAACTATGGTATCTATGCTATGAAATATTATGTAGTTCTTAAAAATAAAGAGATGTGTGTATTGATCTGGAGAGATGGCCATGATATGTTATTAAGTAGAAAAAAGTAGTAAGTGTAAAAAGCAAGTTACCAAGTATGTGTAAAATAGCCTCCCATTTTTCACTTACAGAAGAAAAACTGCTTATACAAGTATATAAATGTACACATGCACAAATATGTATGAAAGAAGAAACACATATATATTTATGTAAAAATATGGAATAATACCCACACACAAAAACTATTAATATTGGTGAGTATGAAGGAGAGGGATTATTAACTGCTTGTATACTAGTATCTTCTTGTTTAGTTTGATTTTTTGCAGTGATTCTACATTATTTTTATAATGTAAAAATATAATAAAATATTTTAATTGAATATAAAACATTCTAATTCTGTACTATCAATAATTTAAATAATATCAACATCCTCATACTTTTTTCCTTTTTTAACAATTGAGATGTATTAGATATGTAACATTATATTAATTTGGGATATATAACTTAATGATTTCATATTGCATATATTGCAAAGTGATCACCACAGTAAATCTAGTTAGTATCCATGACCACACAGTTATAATTTTTTTTCTTGTGGACACCACAATTCTTATATCATTAGTTTATTCATTCACTAGTTCAGCCCATGGGCTCTGCATCCAGTTGATCCATATTCAGTGATGCCTGAAGTTTGCTACATTGTAGGGCACAGCCGGGAATGAAACAGAGCCAGACACCACCTTCAAAGTCTACAAGGTAGAGCAGATATGAAACTAGTAGAGCATGTGAACAGAGTGTGACAAGGCCACAAAATAAAAGCATGGGGTCCTGTGAGGAAATCCTGGGGTGTCTATGAAACTGCTTGGACCAGAAAAGTCACTCTGAGAAGAGCACGTATGCTTGACCCAAAGGTTGAGATGTAACCAAGAGGTCAAGAGCTGAGAGGAGCATCAACCCACTCGAAAGGGAGAGCTGGCTGGAAGAAGCCTCTGCTCGATGTGCACAAGGAAGCAGAGAAGGTCAGAGTGTCTGGAGCCGCCAGAGATGAGGTCAGAGAGGGGGCTGGACACCGGGGAGCTATATGTGCCAGGGGGAGTGTGGCTCTGGTTGTGAAGCAAACAAAAAAGGGTGTAACTCCCAGAGGACTGCCAGGACGGAAGTTATGTTATGAGGCAGGTGCCAGTGACACAGCCCCAACGCTGAGCGCCCCAGTCTAGTGGTGGGGACATCCGAGAAGTCACTCTGGTGTGGTGCTCACAAGTTTAGGGCACAACCCTTGTCTCCTGAGGGACATCTCCATCGCTTTGAGCCACTGCTTTGAGCCAGCACCATGGCACAGATGTCCTTCCACTGCAAATTACTAGAAGATAAACCCTCCCTCAGGCCTCTGTCCTGGCGTTTCTCACATGGTGCAATGACTTACAGTGTGAAACTATGAATACAAGATTTTATTAAAGAGCAGATCTTTCTTTCACTTTTATACCAACCATTTCTCTAACGTTCTGAAACCCAGTAGTTGTTCTGGCCAAAGACCAAAGAGCCAGACGGTGGGACAAGTTGGTCACCCCACATGTGCACCTACTGTGTGCTACGCACCCTGAGAGAGTACAGGGAGAAAGTGAACTATAACCTTTTTCCTTGAAGACATTGCCGGAATGGCAGTGGTGTTGATGCTCAGGTGCCTTTATCTTTTCATTTCTGTGTGTACGACCACCTCTCACCACCCACAGGCACCCATCTGCATGGCAGGGAAGGGGTGCTTTCCTTCACACAAGAGGAATGTGTGTGACTGGGACTCTTGCAGCAGAAAAAAGAAACACATTTGAAATTCAGCTTTGGACTACTAAACCAGAATTTCAGACAGTGTTTTGGAAGTCATACTTTATTAAGATATAAAGTAGATATTCCCTAAGAGTAAGGTGACCAGACCTCCCGCTTTTGGCGGGACAGTCCCGATTTTTAACAATCTGTCCCAAGTCCCGCGGCGTTTTAAAAAAGTCCAAAAGATTTAAAAGAATCTTTCCAAAAATCGGGACTTTTGTAAAACGCCGCGGGCCGCCGGTCAAATTGTTGGAAATCGGGACTGTCCCGCCCAGAGAGGGACGCGGTCACCTCGCTGAGCGCCAATGAGCCTGTGAGAGGCCGGCGCCCGACTTGCCCTGAGAAACCTCCACGCGCACCGCCAGCGGGTGGCTGGCTCCGAGCGGAGACGCACTGCGGCTGCGCCCTCCGCCAGCAGGGGCGCCCGCCCCTCCCGGCCCCAGCCTCCACCAGGAAGTCCCGCCCCTGCCGGAAGTGAGAGCCGGTGCTTCCGGAAGGTGCTGGCTTTCCAGTGCGCCTGGCCTCAGGCAGCACGAGGCGGGCAGGGCTTGTGGGCTGAGGGCTGCAGACGGCGGGCAGGCCCTGGAGCTGCAAAGCCCGCGGTGAGGAGTCCGCGCTGGGACCTCTGAGAGGAGAGCTCATTGCAGGTAGTCCCTTCCCGTCCCCTGAGGGTGGCCAGGGCAGAGGGCAGGCCAGGGCAGAGGGCAGGCCAGGGCAGAGGGCAGAGCAGAGGGAAGGGCAGGGCAGAGGGCAGAGCAGAGGGTAGGGCAGGACAGAGGGCAGGGCAGAGGGCAGACCAGGGCAGAGGGCAGACCAGGGCAGAGGGCAGGGCAGGGCAGAGGGCAGGCGGCTCTGCAGCCACCAGCTGCTTAGGGAGCCGGCCTTCTGCAGTCAGGGTGTGATTTCATCCTCACCAGGGCTCCTCCCTGCACAGTGTGATGGGGTCCGGGCGCCTGCTCGTGCCCCATGAGGATCCAAAGTTTCCTGGTGTCTCCTACCTCCTCCCGCTCCTGTGTGAGCCCGGGATCCTCCACACCAGATGGTTCTGGCTGGGACAGAATTTCAGGGAGATGTAGTTAAAGCCATAGACCTGACCACCTGCAGCAGGCCAGGCATCCACTGGGCATTAACACAAGAAGTTAACGGCCCACTTCTCACTTAACCTTCACTCATGGCATGAAGGACACCAGATCTGACTGGTTCCAGGGAAGCCGTTGTGGTGCTTCAGCTGATGGCTTCCCCTGAATCCTGTGCCCCAGCCGTGAGCTCTCCGGATGCTGCGCCCATTAAACTCCAGTCCTCACGGAATTGAGAGTGGGGCACGAAGCCCTTGGGGTCAGTCACTGAATTGCTCTTGAGTCACTTAAAAATAAAGTCAGGTCTCTGCAGATTTGTGTTGAAATCCCATCAAATGAATCGATTGCTTAAATAACTTCAGTAAAATGAACTATTTTTAAATGCTATGTAAGTACTATGCAGGGCAGGGCAGAGGGCAGGGCAGGACAGAGGGCAGGGCAGAGGGCAGGGCAGGGCAGAGGGCAGGGCAGAGGGCAGACCAGGGCCCTCTGCCCTGCCCTCTGCTCTGCCCACTATTTTATTTTGAAGACATCAAATAAATTTAAAATTTGATTTAATTAAATAATTTAATTTGTGTATTCAAAAGACCCATACCATGTTCATGGATTGGTAGAATAAACATCATTACAATGTCCATACTGTCCAAAGCAATCTATAGATTCAATGCACTCCCCATTAAATACCAATGGCACATTTCACAGACCTAGAAAGAACTCTCCAAAAATTCAACTGGGATTAAAAAAAAAGACCTCGAATAGCCACAGCAATCCTGAGAAAGAAGAATAAAGTAGGAGAGATCTTAATGCCATATTTCAAGCTGTATTACAAAGCCACTGTTATCAAAACAGCCTGGTACTGGCACAAGAACAGACATATAGGCCAATGGAATAGAATAGAGAACCCAGATATCGACCCAAACCACTATGCTCAATTAATATTTGACAAAGGAGGCTTGAACATACAATAGAGTCAAGACAGTCTCTTTAATAAACGGTGTTGGGATAATTGGACGATATATGCAGTAAAAATGAAACTAGACCACCAACTTACACCATACACAAAAATAAACTCAAAATGGATAAAGGACTTAAACGTAAGATAGAAAATCATAAAAACACCAGAAGAATCCACAGGCAGAGAAATCTCAGACATATGCCCAAGCAGTTCCTTCCCTGATACTGCTCCTAGGGCAATGGAAACTAAAGAGAAAATAAACATGGGACTACATCAAAATAAGAAGCTTTCATACAAAAAAAAAAAAAAAAAATCATCAACGAAACAAGAAGGCCCACTGTATGGGAGAGCATATTTGCAAATGTTATCACTGATATAAGTTTAATCTCCAACATCTACAGGGAATGTATACAACTTAATAAAAGGAAAATAAATGATCCAATAAAAAAATGGGCAACAGACCTAAATAGAATTTTTTAAAAGAAGACAGAAGGAAGGCCAAGAAACACATGAAAACATGCTCAAAGTCACTAATTATCTGAGAGATGCAAATCAAAATGACAATACAGTACCATCTCACACCTGTCAGAATGGCTATCATCAACAAATCAACAAATGACAAGGGCTGGCGAGTATACCAACAAAAAGGAACCCTCATGCACCGCTGGTGGGAATGCAGACTGGTGCAGCCACTGTGGAGGATGGTACAAAGTTTCCTCAAAAAACTAAAAATGGAACTCCCATTTGACCCAGTAATCCCACTCCTAGGAATATATCCCAAGAAACTGGAAACACCAATCAGAAAGGACATATGCACCCCTATGTTCATATAGGCACAATTTACAATAGCTAAGATTTGGAAACAGCCTAGGTGCCCATCAGCAGATGAGTGGATCAGAAAACTATGGTACATCTACACAATGGAATACTATGCTGCTATAAAAAAGAAGGAATTATTATCATTTGCAGCAACCTGGATGGAACTGGAGAGCATTTTGCTAAGTGAAATAAGCCACTCAATGAAAGAAAAATAACACATGATCTCACTCATTTACAGATAATAAAGAACATTATAAACTGATGAACAAAAATATAGATATAGAGGCAATATAGCATCAAACAGACTGTCAAATTCCAGCGGGAAGGTAGGGAAAGGTGGGGATGTAAGAGATCAACCGAAAGACTTGTATGCTTGCATATAAGCATAACCAATGGACGCAAGACACTGGGGGGTTAGGGCATGTATGGAAATGGGGTGGGGGGGCAATGAGTAGATATGTACACATGTAATACCTTAATAAAAAATGGAAAAATAAAAAAATTAAAAAGAAGGAATTCTTAGCATTTGCAGCAGCATGGATGGACCTGGAGAGCATTATGTTAATGAAATAAACCAGGCAATGAAAGAAAAATACCACATGATCTCACTCATTTATGGAAAATAAAGAACATTATTATCTGATGAACCAAAAGATAGATACAGAGGCAATAAAGCACCGAACAGACTGTCAGATTACAGCAGGAAGGCTGGGGAATGTTGGGGAGGGGGAAGAGATCCGTCAAAGGACTTGTATGCATGCATACAAGCGCAAATGGACACAAACACTGTGGGGGGAGATGGGATGAGGGAATGTGACAGTGGGTAGGGGAGGCTGGGGGAAGGTCAATGGGGTAATAGAGAAACATTGACTGGTTGTCTCTTGTTTGTACCCTGACTGGGGATTGAACCACAACCTATTGTAGATGTGTGGCCTGACTGGGAATCAAACCGACAACCTTCAGGGCCTGGAACCCGGGATCTGGTTTTTAGGAAAGAAAACTTTATAATAGTCCTAGAATTTCTGCCTTCCAGAGGTCCAAAGTTCAGCTAAGCCAATGGGAGTTGATGGATCTCCTTGAGGCATTTGAGCTCTGAAGTATGCAAGGTGCTGTTCATTGTGCCTGCTTGCACGCACTCTTCTGTGATTTCTTCCTGTTTTCTATGTCACTGTTACATGTTTTCTTTAAAACAGTTCAAGACATAAATTTTTCTGCGTTTCTCTGAAACTCTGGCCCTGAAATTTGGAAGCAGAGAGTTTAAAATTTTAGCATCCAGTTAATATTTCATTGGCATAAGCTCATGCAGTCAACCGTTATTCAAATCCTGATTTGCATAATTATAAAAGAAGTAATTTTCAACATATCAAGAATCTCTAAATTATATGTAATTTGCTGTGTTCTCAGTTCAGGTCACTACATTTATAAATTTGTTTCCTGTTTAGATCACATTTTGTTTTGCATTATTTTAAATCTCATCATGCCTCCCACAAATGAAGGCTATTAGATTTGTGGTAGATTCTATAAGTGGAATTGATTTAGGTGGTTAGGAAAAAATAACACCTTTAGGTAGTATTTTTTTCCATTTTTGTTCTTGGACTTTAAGTAATTTGTAATATTTATTGGAGCTGGATAGTTAATAAAAATGCTCATTGGTACTTTGTCCCCCTCTATCATAAGTCCAAAGATTTCATTTACTTAAAATTTTTAAATTTATTTTAAACAAAATAAAATTTTTAGTTAACCGAAAGAAAATCATTACTAGTTTAGAAAATAATTAAAACACTTTTAGTTCATTGATTGACAGCCTAAATATTTAAATTTTGTTCTGACATACCTGCATATCTGTTCTCTAAATGTCTTTCTTGCATGTGCTAGTTTAATATTCCTTGCTCAGAAAGCTATGTTCAGGATCTTTATGTTAAAATATTTCCCAAATGTGCAGCTTAATTTTGTTCATTTTTCTTTCTTCTAAATTACTTGCTAATATTCTATCAAATTGTTTTGTAGGCAGTTGACTGGTGGGTTTAGGTGTTGTAATGTATGAACTACTAACTGGAGCATCTCCTTTCACTGTGGATGGGGAGGAGAACTCCCAAGCTGAGCTACTAGGTAGGGTTTAACAAAAGAAAATGAATGGATACTTAAAAGGAACTGATCAAATTTCTGAATTTGGCTGGTAGAAAAAAAATAATTTAATGTGGAGATTGGCAAAATTATGTTTAAGTGCTTAACTTACATTTATAATTACATAGGATGTAGATATAGACCCTTTATATTTCCTTATATTTTATGGGCCCAGAGAGATGTTAAATTTCATAGAGAATGTGTCATAATTTTGGTGTATTCTGAAGCACTTAGCATTGTTCAGGAGCTGCCACAGCCCCCAACCCAGCTGTGTTGCCTGCCAGAGCCCTTTGGAATATGGGACCTAGAGCCATTAGGAATATATGTTCAAGAGCCGATTAGAATGTGGGGTGAGGAGCCGTTTAGAATGTGGGGTGAGGAGCCATTGGCAGTGCGTGGTGCTGAGCTGCTGGACACAGAGACTGTGGGCCCAGAGCCGGTGTGCGCAGCGATGAACCGTGGACACAGCCTAAGGATGGACAGTACTGTCCGGGAGCTCATGGAGCGCTTCCTTCAGAGCCCGCTGGTGGCGTGGGTGAGTGCACCTGCCTCCCTGTCCCATGGCTGGTGGCCTGGCTCCTCTCCCGCCTCCTGGGATCTCCACAGACCCCACCCCCCGGATCCTGGCAGTCCTGGGACTCGGGGGTCTTCACAGGTCTCCAAGCTGGAGGCGGGGTCCTGGTTTGGGGCCTAAGGGGTTTCCTACTCTGCAGCCCATGCACCAGTGCAGGACTGAGGTGGGTTCACCTGCTCCTGCCAGGGCGCCAGGCTGCCGGTCCCGGAGTGGACAGGGACTGAGGGGTCACCCGGCCCATGTGGCTGAACCACTGTGGAAAAGCACTCACTCCCCCAAATATCCTGGTTTAGTGTTTGAACTCGAGACCAGCTGGTGGATGGTGGTGGTCGGTGAGGATTGGGGTGTCTGAGTGGGAACGTGTACCGGATGGAATGGGCATGGTGATTCCAATAGATCAGAGACATGAGAAATGCCTGAAAGCTCCTTTTATTTTTCATTTTCCCCTGTCCTGTGACGCTGGAGAAAAGTGGCGAGAAAGTTTGCCTCCTGCTGTCTCCCATCTGTAGCCGAGATCAGGGCAGGGAGACAGGCCCTGGGGAAAGGTGGGCTTGGTGCCAACTGAAGCGAGAGTGGGCGCTGGGTGGCCCTTCAGCCCACAGGGGTCCTGCCCGCCGTTGCCACGGAGACCTTCAGAATGTGCATGTGGGGTGATATTTGTGCCTTTCTGCCCGCACCCCCTCCTTGCAGGTGAAAACTTTGAGCCCAGTCGCAAGTGGCAAGGATGAGGACATGTACGTGCACTTGGTGGATGGCATCATGCTGAACCAGGTCATGATGGAAATGTAAGTTGTCCTCACAGGCCAAGCACAAACATGCTCAGAAGGTGTGACTTAGGGTGTAGAAACGAAGGAACCGGAGTTGCTGTGGGAGGGTTTCTCCTGCGCCAGTGCTACCTCAGCATCCGGGCCCTTTTGCTGCCATTCGTTGGGGATGAAGAACTGCAGGACAGTGGGTGGCAGTTTGTTTGATGAAGGATATTTGGAACTGAAGGACTGTCAAGCACTTGGTGTAGATGGTTCAGTTAACTTTAAACTCAGGTATTAATGTGGTTTAAACAATGAAATTTAAAATTAAAACTTGGGGGCTCATGGAACTGTAACGGTCAGGGTCTGGCCACAGGAAGTGTCGGGAGGGTCGGGAGCAGTGAGAGTGACTGAGGGTTCACTCCTGGGTAGGACCCTGTTTCTGAGCTCTCTCACTCATCTTCCATGTTCAGTTACTCCATAGTGAGTGGCTTCCCAGGTCCTGGATTGAAAGCCACTGTGTGAGGAGAGGCACAGGGCGTCAGAATGCTGAGGGACCGACCTGGAGCCTCTGAAACGGCCTGGGGGCCACATTCTCTCCTGCTGCTGAATTCTGCAGAGCCTGCCTGCCTGACAGCCCGCCCCACGGAGGCTCCTACTCCGACTCTGTTCTTAACTCAGAAATGGCAGGAGAGATGCTGGAACTTAGTGTCGGTGTGGTTCTCGGGAACTTGAAGGAAAAGGGAACATCCTAGCGTTCTCTGTGGACCAGCCCCTTATGCTCACCTTCTCACCTGCAACTAAGCTCTCCGACTTGGGCATAAACTCTTTGGCTAATGAGAATCAGCTTCTTTTGTGGCACACGCAGGAGGAGTTAGCTTTGGCATATTCAGAAAGTGGTTTAGTCCTAACCAGTTTGGGTCAGTTGATAGAGCATCGGCATGCAGACTGAGGGGCCCCAGGTTTGATTTCGGTCAAGGGCATGTACCTTGTTTGCAGGCACATCCCCAGTAAGGGGTGTGCAGGAGGCAGCTGATGGATGTTTCTCTGCCATTGATGTTTCTAACTCTCTATCCCTCTCCCTTCCTCTCTGTAAAAAATAAATAAAATATATATTTTTTAAAATTTTAAAAAAGAAAGTGTTTTAAGTAGACTTACCTAAAAAGATCTGTTTTGAGAAATTTCCCAAGAACATAGCTCCTTTTGTTTTAATACATCATGTGCTATCAGGCTGTGGGAGAGGTAGAAGTTTCATTTCTAATGTTTGTTTGTTTTCAAAAGCCCTATCAATCTTACCGATCTTACCAACCCTGTGTTTGCTTAGATATAAACAACAAATCTGTTAGCTTTGGCAGCACTTCTCTGAGAACACTGACGAAAATGGGTTTTCATGGATTGTCCCGAGGCATAGACAGGTCCTGGCAAGTAGTGGGGGTGAGGATTGACTGGAAAAGGGTGCAGGAGAACTGGGAGGGTAGAGGTTTTCTACCTAATGATTGGAGTATGTTTAATTTTTAAAAACTCATCAAGATGTAACTTATGATATATGCATGAAATCCCCTAAAAAAAAACAAACAAACAAAAAACAGCCCTGTGTCCACACGTAGGGAGCCAGTGGGGACTGAAGTCCAGGTATCTCATCCTGGCTGCCTGATGCTGGGTGTGGCACTCACCACCTCAGTTTGCTCATCTATGAAATGGGAAGTGCACTGCCCCCTTAAGAGATGGTAGTGAGGCCGAGACCGGTTTGGCTCAGTGGATAGAGCGTCGGCTAGGGGACTGAAGATTCCGGGTTCAGTTCCGGTCAAGGGCATGTACCTTGGTTGCGGGCATGTCCCCAGTAGGGGGGTGTGCAGGCGGCAGCTGATCGATGATTCTCTCTCATCGATGTTTCTGGCTCTCTGTCTCTCTCCCTTCCTCTCTGTACAAAATCAATAAAATATATTAAAAAAAAAAAAGAGAGATGGTAGTGAGGATTAGATGTGATGATGTGTGAGCATGTAGCACAGCGCGTGCAACGTGAAAGGTGTTAGTGTCAGTTACTCATGTGTATACCCTCCTGATCCAGGAAGGACTTGAGGCAGCCAGTAAGAAATGTTTTTGTGTTCCTTCAGTCTTTCTCCCACATTCTTAGTCTCCTAGATTATAACTCACAGCGTTAGCCTTCTCCCAGTGAGTTCTAGGACAGAACTGGACTCTGGGACTCAAGTCCTATCCCCACATCTGACACAACACTGAAGCTAAGCCTGTGTTTTCACTCCTGCCAAGTGGAGAAATGTAACTCACCAGCAGGTAAGGCTGTTCTGCTTTACTGTCCATGCTGGGAGCTCCCAACTGCGTGCTGTTCACCAGTTTGGATCAACTCTCCCCAGGCCGATAGGACCTGAGGAAAGAGCAGCAATATGCTAACGGGCTTGCTGGGGCCCAGATAAGGGGCGTATTACCTAACACCTCAGACCACCAGGAGGCTGGCAGGGGCTCAGGTGCGCGTACCTGGGCAACTGAGGAAGGCTGCGGTGGTCTCTGAGCCCTGGCCTCCCAGTGGGTGGGTGTGCCCACATGCCTGTGCTGGTGTGCATGTACTTGTGGGAATGGACACCATTTTGATTTGGCCCAGGTTGGAGTCAGCAGTTGCTCTGTTTTTCCCACAGCAGGAGAGAAGAGGGTTCCCATCCTGAGCAGAGTGGCATAGACTTTCCTTAGTTGTCTTGTTTGGATTTGGTTCCTAATAGCTTTTCTCTGCCCTGAGAGCCTTAAAGGAGGGAGTATTGGTTAATGATCAGGATAATTAGTCTGATTGCTCAGGTAGTAAATGCCAGGGCTCTTGTGGAGCGTAGTTTCAGCTAGTGCTGCCTTCAGAGCTGGTGGGAGAAGCAGAGGGTCAGACCCAGGCCCCTACTCCAGTGCTTGGAATGCTTTTCAGGTGCAGCGAGCGTCCCTGTGTGCTGAAGCCCGTTGGCTGCTGCCTCTCCTGGGGAGGTCCCATGTGACTTAATCGGGCCTTCCTTTGCCAGGGAAAGATTTCAATTCGGTCTTGACAGACACCGCATCTCATTCACAGACTTTCTGCAGATATTCACTCCTGCTCCCAAAAGGGCAGTCGGGGCTTCCCAGCCCCAGCCAAGGTGTCCTCCTCTCCACGTCAGCTGCTGGTGTCCCGGTTGAATTGCAAACACCTTGTGGTGGTGGTGGTGGTTTTTAAATTGTACTTTCAGTGACATTTGAAATGTTGATTTGTACATTTTTTTCCTATTTGTCAATTTTGTATTATTGGCTTCAAGTGAGCCAAATGGCATTGAGATCGATTTCCATAACTCTCCAATCGCCCCTTCATTATGGAGGGGTCAGGTTACTGCGGAAAGAGGAAGAGGCCTGCCTCTCTCCCATCAGACCGGCTCCCAGGAGGCTCAGCGCCCTCATGAACCCATGAAGACAGCCCTCCTTTGAATCATGCCCCTCCCTGTGTGCTGGGACAGTAACTGTGGGGGAGGGCTTGGTTATGAAAAGCAGGAGAGGCGGCAGCTGAGGCCTCCTGTTGAGTCTCTTCAGATAGGAAACCTGTTTTGAGCCTGAGAATTCTGAGAAATACACTGAACACATATCAGTGAGTGAAGTTATAAGTCACTTGATTGAGAATTCTGGTTTCATCACGACCAGACCTGACTTTTGCTGGAGAGTGGAAGTCAATAGGCTTTGGGGGTTCCCTCATGAATTGCTTGAGTCTCTCCTGTTAGCATGGCTCCTAGGTGGCGTTGTACACCATATAGTGTCACAGACCCATCATGTCGGCTTGACCAGGTGGAATTGTGTCCCTAGAATGTAAAATCTCAGGACCATCCTGAGACCCAGGCTGGTGACAGAGGAGGGGAACCCGTGTGAAGTAGAACATTAATGATTTTTATTGATTTAAGTCAGAAAATGGGCCATGTTTTCCCTTTTTCTTTCTTGATGGTTCATATATTTTGGCGTGTTCAGTTCCTAACTCTCTTAATCTTTAACCATATTGTGGGGTGGGTTGTCGATTTTCATACAGTGTAACCTTTTGGGTCTGCCCTGCATTTGGTGGTGGTTTGTGGGAACTGCTGGGAGTGGGAGTGGAAATGACATTGATTAAGGGTCTGAGGAGGGCTTGTCTTATAGTTGGGAGGGATGTGTACTGTCTAAGGTCCATGGCTCGGCAGATGAAGATTTTGGGTTTGAATGGAGCACACTGGTTTCAGCCTCACACTGACCTTGGCTCAGAGAGGGCTGCTTAGCGCTGGGAAGGGAAGTGAGGCAAATGCTGGGAGATTCTGTTTCCAGTCTCCTGTTTCCTCCCCTAGAGACTCCAGGCCTAATCAGCGCTTCCACCAGCACGTGAACAACGATGTGAACCTTCGCATTGAGAACTTGAGCATCCTGGTCAGACACATCAAGACCTTCTACCAGGTAAGGGCGGCCTCTGTTTCCAGGATGTCTGTGCTTCTGGCAATGTCCTCACTCAAAAGGTTTCCCCGCAGGAAGCCCAGAGGAGATGGTGTTCACGGTGAGGCAGCTGCTTGCTGACACTTGGGGTTTCTTACTTGCACCCTTTATCCCCCTCCCCCTGCATTGTGAGAAGGGACAGAGGGGGGAGGGGGATAAAGGGACGCCATTGCTTTACTTGTCCAGCCGATGTCCTTTGAGCGGTGTGCATGGCATTGGGTCTGGTGCTGTGAGGGCCCCAGAGATGAGTCGGCACTGTGGCCCCAAGCACCAGTCTGGTGGGAGTGGCTGGAATGGGTTCTGGGAGGGGCACGCTGACCTGGTTATTGTCCGCAGCTCAGTGAGTCTTTGTACAGCAGCAATTCAAGGGGCTGAAGGAGGTATGGAACCACAGAGGGTTATGTTGGGTCAGGACTGTAATGGACGAGTCCCCAGGGTGCGGACGGCAGCACTGGAGTTCAGCGTGCAGAGTGTCCACTTGTCATGCTCACAGTATCTCATTCAGATAGTCCGTGCAGGAGGACCTGATGGCGAAGGGCTGTTAAAATCCCCACCCAGGCCCTGACCGGTTTGGCTCAGTAGATAGAGCGTCGGCCTGCGGATTCAAGGGTCCTGGGTTTGATTCTGGTCAAGGGCATGTACCTTGGTTGCGGGCACATCCCTGGTGGGGAGTGTGCAGGAGGCAGCTGAATGATGTTTCTGTCTCATTGATGTTTCTAGCTCTCTATCCTTCTCCCTTCCCTCTCTGTAAAAAAATCAGTAAAATAAATATTAAAAAAAAAAAAAATCCCCACCCAGGCCTTGGGAAGGTGGGGTGAAGTCTCTGATCTTTATGGTCTATATGACCAGGACGGACGCCATATGGACTGAACCTGTCACCTGGGCCCTGGTTTTCACACTTCTGAGCACTGACACTTGTGTCTCCATATGAGTTTTCTTAAGATCTCAGGTGAAGCCCCATAATTCTGATTGATTGGGACTTGGGGGACCATAGTGCCCTCTGCTCAGCCCCCACCTCTCCCTCCGGGGCATTTCTGTGAGTCCCTGGGACCTCAGGGAACGTGGTTTAAGAACCACTCCCCAGCCCAGCTTGTGTGGCTCAGGTTGTAGGCTCAGACTCCAGTTGGGGCATACAAAGGCAGTCGATGAATGATTTTCTCTCATCTTTGATGTTTCTATCTCTTCCACTCTGAAATAAATAATATATATATGTTGAAGAAACACCCACTGTCCAACATGTGAGTGTTTATTCTGTGGTTTCACTGAGATCTTGGGCAGCCTCTGTCCCTGGCCCTGTTCCCAGCTGGCAGCTGTGCTCATTCCATGGCCTGTTGGCAGCACAGCACCCAACCCTCTGGGCTGGGCCGGAGGGAGCTCAGATGATGGGGCTGAAGTGACCTCGTTTCTTGGTCTGAGGGGAGCCACACTCAGGCCCAGGCATGCTGTAGGCCGGTGGGTTTCAGCTAGTGCTGCCCTTGTGATGGTCACGGACAGGGGAAGGGGTGGTGCTGCCATTGGACTTGGGTCTGGTTTTGAGAGACCTTGATTCCTGGCTGCAGGCACCATTCATGGTAAGCCGGTGCTTTTGCTGCTGTGTGCTAAGTGCCAGGGAGGCAGATGGTGCCAACAGTTCAACGGACAGGTCTCCTAACTCAGGCTGCGTGGGAGCAGCTGGGAGTCTTCTTGGAGGAAATGACACCTGAGTGGAGTGATGCGCAGCTGAGTTTCCCTTTGGGAGGGTTATGGGCAGGAGACGGGGAACAGGCATTGAGGTGGAGGCAGCCCTGTCCACGTCTGTCACCGGCAGCACTTGCCCCAGTTGCTGGGATGGAGGCCTGTTGTCCTGGTTCCACAGGAATCAAAACCACGGAGGTGCCAACGTGGGACCCTTGACAGGCAGGCCTCTCGCCTCAGGGCGTCACCTCTCCCTGTGGCAGCGATGAAGGCCTGGGGCAGGGGGGGAGGTTTCTGAGGCTCTCTGTGAGCAGCAGGGAGCAGGCGGGCTCCGGGGCAAGCTATGTGGCCATGCGCATGCCTTCCCTGGTCTCCCTGGCCCAGGAGAGTGCAGCTGATGGCGGTCCGCTGCCCTGTGCTCAGCTCTGGGCTGGCCAAGGGGCTGGGCCATGTGGAATTGCAGGCAGTTTGCTGCTCTTGGGCACCTGGTAGTGCTCCAGAACACGGAACCGTCCCAGGAAGGAAAAGATGGCCAGTCCACCCTCAGGGCCCAGAGAGGATCGCAGGGAGAAGGAAGGACCTGCCTCCTGGCCCGGCTTCTGCACTGGCAGCTCTTTGAGGGCAGGCAGGGGTGCGGGCAGCCTCAGCCCCGGGGCCCAGAGTAAATGTTTGCTGCAGCACTTGCTAAGGGCCGCAGGGCGCCCCTGCCTCAGGCCTGCTCACGTGGAGAAAGCCGCAGGCACTTGCCTCTGGGCTGACACAGGTAGGTGCGGGCAGGGTTGTGCTGTGTATTTCCTTCTCATTTATTGGAAAATAAAGTTAAGTTCTGGTCATCTAAGTAATATGTGCTTTTTACAAACAGCTAGGAAAACACATAGTAATACCGGATCCAGCCGGTATTACAGGTCCTGAAGGTATGGCTAGGAGGCTGAGAAAAAGAAAAGACAGGAACAGCGGGGCTTCCGGAGGACTGGAATGCTCTATGGCACTGCAGCAAGTTTATTAAGAGCGCAATCTCTTTTATAACTAAAGCTGGTTGTTCCTCCAAATGGATTTCTCCAAGGACATGATGCTACGTGCCAGTTCCTTAAAACCTATGGCAGGAAGATATCTGGCCGGAAAAGTTCATCTGGCTGTACTCTGCTATGTTAATTCAAGGACATGTTTGCAGATTCCAATCTTGCACACACAGCAGAACGAAGGACACTGTTGCTTGCCACATCCCCAAGTGACCCGACTTCTGGGGGAGAGCAGGCAGGGCTACCTACCCTTGCTCCATCCCCCGATTCTCAGGTCGGTAGGGGACTCGGCTCCCAACAGCTCCCCCCTTTTAACTATATTTATGCATGTGTGCGTTATCCTTATTTTGATACAATTATATCAGTTTTATATCAGTTGCCAATTGGTAGGTCTGCCTGCATATAACCTTAAGGAGGACCGGCAGAAGCGCACACAACAAAACCAGTAGCCCAGTGGTTATTACCAACCCAATAAGGCCATACATTGTGGAGGTTACAGATGGAAAATTATTTCGAAGCTGAGTGATGAAATCTGAGGCTGCCTTGGCAATATCAATGTCTAATTTAGGCCCGTGCGCCAATTCTTGAATCTCCTCATGTAAAAGTCGGAGATCTAGAGACGTATTTGCATCTTGCCAAATGCCGGTTAAATGTCGTTTAACATTCTCCCAGGAAAACTGGGTGTCATTGTACCCTTTTGGAGTAATACAAATCCAATTATATGCTGCATGACAGTGCAGATTCCCTTTAATTTCAAGGGCGACTATCTCATCTCCCAGAATCTGGACAGCGTCCTAAAGGGCGTTTAACCTTTTTTCTACTTTCTGGTCCCAATCTTCTTGTACTTGTAAGGCTTTTGTCATATTAAAGGGTAGCGCATTAACATACTCAGCTGTCTGGATAGTTTGTGTTAAAGAGATGGCAGATGCAGTAGCAGAGGCTATTAAGGTTACTAATGCAGTGATACCTGCTACAAGCAATCCAACAAACCATTTTGGGAGGCTTAGGGCCTTCTCTACTTCTCGTAGGACTTCTAGACCTGAGTCATCATACCATGCATGTGTAGTGTTTACAGGGAGCATAACAAAGGTAGGCTGTTGTAGTATCATCAAGGCCATAGTAGAACCATTAATACAGTTAGTCAAGCTGCAAGAAGGACAGCTTATGTTGTATATGTTAGTAACATTGTCCAATACCTCACACTGAGATTAGCTCCTACCAAAAGGACATAAGGATCAGGTACACAAGATGATACACTGACGTTATAACTATTCCCGCTCCCACTAATCACTCCCCGCGGGGAAATGGAGACATTTTCTTTTTCAACAGTGACATAGTCCATGGTGGCAACCAATTTCCACAATTCTTCCTGAAATGTGATATTGTCCATAGTCCACAGTCCAGCCACCAGGTTCTGGGGGCGAAAGTCGTTATCAGTGTCGGCCCAGTCGCACAGCTTTCCCTGGCACACTGTCACATTACTGTGGCAGGTCCTCCACATTAGTCCCATTTCATTTCTAGATGGCCCCAGCCGCAGGCGGTCCAGTCGATCCCTCAGCTTTGCCACCTGACTTCGAGGCATGGCGCACACACCGCTCGGGTAGCCACCGAGGGTTCTCACACAAACACAACCTCTGCCCCACATTAGTACGGGTTTGGGACCATGCATTTTCATTAGTCAGTGGGTCTCTCCAATACCCCTCAGGGAATGCCCTTGCCTGTGGGTTCCAGAACCTTTGGGCTGCCGACTGGCCCTCGTTACCCACTTGCAGGAAATTTAAAATGAATATAGTATGATTAAGTATATTTTGAGGAGTTAGGGGGTAATACTCCCCCTTCTTAACTTTAAAAATTTGATTCTTTAGAGTCTGATGGGCACGGTCCTTGGGGATTATAGGCGATGCCGTGCTTGAGTTGGATACGGTATTGATGACAGAAATGAGAAAAGGCTTTGCTACAATAGGCGGGGGCATTGTCGGTCTTCAGTTGTTGGGGGACCCCTAAAATAGAAAAACAGTAAAGCAGATGGGCGATGCAATGTTTAGCTCCTTCACCCACCCTGGCAGTGGCCAGGATGAAGTGGGAAAATGTGTCAATAGTTACATGTACATAGCGAGAACGACCAAATTCAGGAATGTGAGTGACATCCATTTGCCATAGTTGATTGGGTTTTAGTTCTCGAGGATTAACCCCATGATGCGGTACGGGAAGTATTTGGGGGCATCACGTGCACGTCTTTACTATTTGTCGTGCAGTCTTAAATTGGGAATC